AGCAATGAATGAAATCCCACCTAACTCTGATAGTGCTCTGTACCAAACTCTGGCAGATAAACTTTGGGGTTTTTGTTGTGAAAGGACACAATAAATGGGTCTTTAAGCTTTAGATTAATTTTGCTTTTCTGTACCAAGCTCTATCAAATGAATTTTGGGTATCCTGTTGAGAAAGGACATATTAAGTGGGTCTTTAAGCTTTAGTTGAACAAATATCAAATGTGCACCACTCACTAGCCCCCTACATTTGTTTTTAGGTTCAATGGTAAATGGATGGGGTTCTGCGTCTGATGAGGACCGTAACTTTTCTAGTCATAGATCTAGTGTAGGTAGCTCCTCAGATGACTCCATCTTTACCAGCGGCACTTTTGCACAAGCTCTGGTTGCAGCAGCAGATAAAGCTGGGTTTAGGCTGGATGGAACCAGCCTGACAAGAACAGGTTTGTAGACTCCAAGTTGATGCTTTCTGCATGAAGGGTGTCTCTGCCTATCTTCCTCTCCGTGAAACTGCATCTCACACTTGCCTAACATGCATGGGATACGGTGGATTGAGATATTTCTTCATATTTGAAATGAAACCTCGCATTATGTTTCGTTTTTAGTGATTTGAAGTAGTGAATAGCGCAAGTTTTTAATCTGCACCTTTGGTCTGCTGCAGTTCCCCTCAGTGCTGACTGTTCTAGATTTACTGACATATGCTCATTTAATATTTCGGTGAAGAAATTACTAATTCTGCCTTGCAGCCTTTGATGATTTCATTTTCTGAAAAATCTCCTCACAATCATTCACATTTCCAGTGATGAACATCATGTTTAAACTGTTACCTCCATCCGTGCTCTCCTATTGCATTTCATCCTGCAAAAGTGTGTTTTTCTGTGAAGTTTTTCTGAGCATGGGGTGAATTGGTGTGCTTTGATTGTTAACAGTACAAACTGTTTAAAGCTTAATTAATAGCTGATTTTAAAATCCTTCATTAATAAGTTAATGTATTTTGATAACATTTAATTTTGGTTATGCCAACTGAATCTGCCAAGTAAAATATAACACAGGTAAAGTGGATATAACATTTGAAAATAGCCAATCTTCTTAATTAATGAAAACTAAATATATTTTAGTTATTTTTAAATATCCATGAGGTTTTCTTCTATTTAAAAATATAAAGAAATGTTATCTTTATTCTGGTAAGAAAAGGATACATTTGCATTTCCTTAGTCTTGTCAAAATAGCAACAATAACTAATTATTTAAATCCACAAATCTAATAGCAGAGTATGAACTTGGGTAATATTTTTTGTTATACTTCCTCAGCTAATCCCAGATGACATGTCCCATAATATTCCTGTAATTTAAATTTTTTAGACTATTAGTCTGGTATGAAGTCTGTCCTTCAGTAAAATGTGTGCATTTAAGAGAAAGTCTCACATGTTGGGGCTGAAAGCTGTAGGCTCTCTGCATGCAATAACTTCATGGCAAGAACTGCATTTTAGGAACATTAGGAATAAAGGAAAGAGTTGATGGCAAAGTCCAAAAATCCAGCTTTTTTCAAATCACTGTGATTTTTACCACTGGCTTTGGGCAGACATAGGCATCCTTAAAAGATTATTTCACCATAGCTGAAGCCCTCAGTTGTTTCCCTCTGTTAATGGAAAATTGAGAAATCTGTCTTATCACTTAAAAAAAAAAAATAAGAAAGCAAACTAAACCAAGAAAACTCATAAATTTATGTACACTTTAACTTATCTAGTATGGATACATCTGGCCAAACTATAGCTTAAAATATGTTTTCCTTGAAGAGTCGATTCTGAATGAAAGGAGCAAATCTTTTCCAACCTTTATTTTTCAGTGGTGTTTGCTCCAGTAAAAGTTAACGCACAGATTCGTCAAAATTACTGTCACTTGTATCAAACCTTTGAGAAGTGCAGTTTCCACCACAAACATGCCCATAACAGAAGTAAATGGACACACAAACACAGGCACTTTCAAATAAATATTTTATTGTAGCTATGTGAATGGAAATTACAGCGAAAAGATGAGAGGCCTCTTGTCAGTTGTATTTTCCCATCTTGATTAGGTCACAAATGCACTAAAAGTGAGTATGTGTGTGAATCCTCACAGGCCATTAGAACACAGGGTACAAAAAGGGATCCATCCAGTGGTTGTGGTAGAGACTCCATGATTATTACCCTCTTACTCTCTTAATGATCCAGCAGGCAAAATGGAACTTAAATAGAAACCCGCATGCAAATAAAGAGCCCTCCCTTGTTTTCCTCACAGAAACCTCAGGAAATGGTATTTTTTGCTCACTGCAAAAAAATCTCCCCGTGCTCCCTGCAGTGTCATCAGGACGTGTCACCTGGCAGGGCAGGAGCAGCAGGCTTATCCTGCTCACTGCTCTGAAGGGAGCCTGAAGGTCCTGACTCTTTATTCCTCTGCAGTCTGGACAGTTATTTCCACCCATTGAGAACAGCTGTGAAATACTCCCAGTGGTAGATACTAAAGGAGGTGTCCAGCTTGATAGCCTCACGTGGGAATGTTTGATTGCCAAGCAGGAGAGGCACTGGTGAATCCAGATGCAATGTGTCTCTCCTGCCAGACACTTTGATTCCAGTTTCCAGAAGCCATCATGTGATTTGCCATGAAGTTAAAAAAGCTTTCCTTTTTAACACCCTTGGGAAATTAAATCAAGAATTAGTGGATTCATCCTTGTCTCCACTTAAACACACTAAATCTGCTGCAGAAGGTCTGACACTGCTCAGCAGTCTTACTGGCAGGGCTGCATACAAATACAAGATGCTGTGATCAGTTATTTAGTGCATTGAAAAATGTGCTATAGGAGTCTGCACATCATTTCTGTTTGCCCCATTTATGATTTAGGTCAGTGCTATTTATTTTGCCTCATTTTTGTGAAGGGATAAAAGAGAATGTTTGGTGTATATTTCTTTTTAAAATCAGCATTCTGAATGAATAATCACGTTTCTTTAGTCAAAAGAGTAAGTGTGAAGAATCTGTGTCCTCCACTCACTAGTTGCATTTGCATGTTGTGAGTTTATTTTTGCAAAACATCTGTGCAGCATGCTGTGAGCTGGGATGGAATTTCAGGCTCACATCTGAATTTCTTTGCATTAGGAGTCTTTTTTAAAATTTTTAAATGAAATCTTAATATTTCATCTGTGTTCATCTGCTATGTTATCCTTATTATCCTTATCAGTGAAAAAAGGGCTTGATCACTTGTCTTTGTCTGGCTGCAGCTGTGCCAGCTATAGAGGTTAATGTTCCCAAATGCTTATTCCTTGCTTTCTCCCAGCTCCAGAATTAGCTGCTTGGGCGGGTGTTCTGTAACCCAATTTCAGTTAAAATGAGCTAGGTTAGCAAAGCCATTGTTTCCAGACTATATAAATTCAATTGGGGTTTTTTTGGTGGTTTTTTTTGGTAGAGGAGGTTAAGGGAATGTCCAAATGAGGGCTTCAAACATGGTAACCTCTGATAGCTGGCACAGATGGGCAGCTGGGGACAAGCTGTGACCTCCTCATGGTGCAAAACAGAAGGTAGAAGACCAAGCCTGAGATAGTCACAAAATCTCTGAAGTCAAATAGTGAAATATTATCCTAACATTTTCACATTAATGTGAAACAACATGTTAGAGAGATTACGGCTACTTTTTCACTTTGCCCTCTTGGCACTGAGAATGTTTAAAATAGGATGCTGAGTTGCATATTACTCCCAGTTAGGCTTTTCTAGATCAGGTTGTATGTGACAGCATGTTGGAATTAAGCACATCTGTTGGAAGGGTTTACTAGAAAACAACCCACTGCAGGGTAGACCATGGTCTAAGTTAACCAGAGGATAAAAAGACCTCCTTTCTATCATGGGCCCAGTTGACCAGAAAAATAGAAATCACCCATTTTGCCACTTTCTATCACCTTTTGCACCATTTGGCCCTACAGCAGCACTGAAGGAACAGAATTTCAGACTGTCTTATGCATTTTGAACTGCAGATAGCATTAAAATATGTAAGAATTTTAATTATAAATTCTAAATTAATTAAGATGTTAGCATCTCCAAAATTTCGCAGGAATGACATGCACATGAACAAAAGAAAGTCAAAGATGGGGATTTTTAGTTTTCATCAGTTATAATTAAATATTAGGTCCAGTTAACAAAATAAAAATATCAGAATAAGAGGAAGTGAATGTGTTAAATGAACTGTGCTCTTTAAATTCTGAGTCTTTAATCATCTGCTCCATAGAACAGCACCAAAGATATTTCTTTAAGAAAAATCACATAGCTTGAATAGTGTGTATATATATATATATATATATATATATATATATATAGACACATATATATATATGTGTATAAGAGATATAAAAATACATGAATAAATCTGAGGTCAGAATATATATTTTAAAAAGTCAAAGTAAAATTAACTGTAAAATTTTAGCATTTAAATGTACCTCCATTTTTATTTCTTGAGAAAAGAGAGTCCTTAAGTATACAGTATTACAATGCTACATAGCTTGCAAAATTAGTTACATTTATCTCGCTGGAGTTACTCCAGCTATACAGTGCATCTGGGAGCCCCTAAAATGAGGATCTGGCTCAGAAAACATGAAAGTGGAAGGCAGGAGGAGATAAATTTGATATGATTGCAGAACTGTTTTCCTTCCGTGTTCAAGGCTGAGGAGTTGTTATGACACATCTGTTCAGCACACAGAGCAGGTAGGAGTTAGATGGCATACAGTAGTTTTATCACAACAGATGGAATAATTTTAATTATAAAAGTTAAAGACAAAAGAATGCCAAGTTTCTCTACTTCACTTGTTGTGGTGTGTCTTAAAGCAGTTGTTATCAGTGGGTACCTTGAGGGGACACTTGCCTGCCTCTGAGAATTAGACCTGATTTAATGTTTCAGAGCAGACATTAATAGAACAGCGCGTTTCAAGGCAATAGCATTTTTTCATCTGGTTTCTGTCTCTCTTTTTTTTTTTTTTTTCTCTTTAGGCAAAGCATATTCTTCCTCTCAGAGACCTCGGCCAGGCAGTCCTTTTTCTACTGACAGCAACACCAGTGCAGCTGTCAATCAGGGTCAGAGGCCAAGGCCCACGAAGAAACACAAGGGCGGACGTCTGGAGCAGCCCCCTTTGCCTCATCGCCGGGAGGGAATCACGGACGGTGAGTGCTGGGGGAGGAAAACCTGCAACAGGCAGGTGAGCACAGCAGGAGAAGGCAGAGGCACCTTTTCAGGAATATCATTTCAGGAATATCAGTTACTGCTTTGGTGGAGTTGGAGTCCCCAGCTTCCCACATGAGCAGTGTTGCAACTCTAACAGTGTTGGGCTTGGCTGAGTGTTGGAGGAGCCTTTCCCCATTTCTGCTCTGGACATGGCATCATCTCTTAGGGTTTCTCAGATCTCAGTATAAATCTTACCCCAAAATGACTGCATTGCACATGTGTTGACATTGAAAAATGGCCTGTGAGTAATTTTACATTTTATGGAAGTAGCCACCACTAGCAGTAGCTGTATGTCATGAATTTCTAAGGAGAAGTGGAGAGCGAATCCCACAGGACTTTTTTGGTTTGTGCTGGTTTTGACAGACACCCAACAGCTACAGCGACACGTGTCATGTTTTCCCATGATTCTGCCTCACCTTTTGTCCGTGCTGCTTCAGTCCTGACATCCACTGACCTCAGTGACTGTGTCTCCCTCTTTTACATCTCCACTTCTCTCTTACAACTGCTTCCCATCTGGAAATTTCAGGCATGTCTGTTCTGCTCTTCTAATACTTAAGATCAGATCTTTCTTCCATTTTCTTTGTCTACCATTCTTGAGTCTGGCAAAAGACACAATTAGTACCTGTTAGTTTTTGAGGAAGACTGGGTAGGAAGGTGGCCAGCTGGCTACCTCCCCCTCATTTCTTCTGATCCTTGGCCTTGCACCTGTAGGTGTTGAAGCGTTCACCAAAGGGGTTATTGTTACACCTCCTCCTCTATGACTTATTTTCCCTGTGATATTATTTGTGGAAAAAGCTTAAAGTAGCTTAAATTCTGCTCCTATGGATCAAAGTTCCTTTAAACATTAATTCCCTCCCCTTGTGGATATATTACAGAGGCCTGTCTATCACACAGATCCATTGGATAGATGTGTCTGTGAAGTAGTAACTAGAAGGTTATGGATGTCACTTGTAGTGCTCGCCATACTCTTGCTGTACATGTTTTGTAACCCTTCTGAGTGTCATATCCTGTCACCCTGAACTATGAGCATCTTAGGCCACAAATTCTGTGTACATGTGAGTTTGTAGTGCACTTAATATGGTGGACAGTAATCCTTCTGCTTCTGAATACTGTTGCTACAGAAGTATTTTACAATAGTGGGGATACCAGAAAATTAATGGAGATCCAGTTCAGGTCATGAGACAGATGGAAGTGGGGCTCCTCAGAGAGTAACTCCTTCATAAAATTTGGCATTGTTTAAACTGGTGAAAGAGATCCAATTGTAAGATTCATTTTAAAAGAGGAAACTCCTATTACTTTGTATTTATCCTAAATAAAATACTAATCTTACCAGAATTTCTTTCATATATTTAAATCAGAATACCAATGATATACTATTTCCTTCAACCTCTCAGGCATGGGCAATAACCATAACAGTTTTTGGATGCCATTTGATTAATATTTGTCTTTTACAAACCTAGTTAAAGTTCTTGCTATATGTTGCAAAAATTTATAATGTCCTAGAGCAATAGAGGAACAGTTCCCATCCTGTATTAACACAGGAACAAACAAACAAACACAAATGGTACAGTTTTCCGCTTCAACTCCTACTGAATATGAGTCATTAAAGTGTAATGTCAAGTCTGAGTCATAGTTAAATTTTCAAAAGATCATTTGTTAATTAAGGAAGCTAGAAGTTACTGCTGCCACCTGCATGTATGTAAACAACTGAATTTAGGAATCTCTGGTTTGCAGAAATTAAAAATGGTAACTGGGTGCTTTCTGTGGAATATTACAATGAACTGTACAGAGACAGACAATACCACTGTGCTTAAGCTATAGCTAGAAAGAGGAAGCAGGAGAGCCTCGGATAGGTCTAGCAATACCAAGCCCTAATCCAGGTCAGTCCATTAAGCCCTGGGCCATCCTGATTTCTGTGAAAAACATCACTATACATTTTCTCTGTTTTTTTCTGATGTCTCAAATTCATTCCCTTATAACTGCTTCCTCTTGGACTTGTCTTGTGAGACTATACTTGGTTTGCCAGTTGTTTTCAAATTCCCAGGTTGGATGAGTCCTGGTATCCTGTGTTTAAGTCTCATCACATACCGGATGTCTGTCATTTTCAATTTTCATTGACCAAGAAAGCTCCAGCTTTCTCTGCCCATTCCCATACACATCCCGAGTGCTTCCCCCTTGTTAACGGTAACCATATGGGACAGTGCAAAAGACCTAAGAAACTGTAATATTTAACACATAGCACACACATCTCAGACCATGTAAGCATCTGAGGGCTCAACTTCATGCTTAGTTTTGACAGCAATCCACACAAATCCCCTAAAACCCCACTTCTTCATTTCCTTCAGCTGCAAGTCAGAAGCCCCTAGAGACTGACTCTAGATGGAGTCTTCATATTTGTCTTGCTGTACAGCTTGTTTTTTCACTTCCACATCCTGAAATACTGTGGAGAAAACAGCACATCCACAGAGGAAGAATATGTTATAAACCCCTCAGATGGCCAAAACTTTCATTTTGAGTTCACAGTCCACCATAAAAAAAACACCCCCAAAAAAAACCAAAACAAAAACAACACAAAAAAAACAACCCCAGGAGGGTTTTAATGCTAGTGCTCAAGAAATAATTTGTTTTTTCTAGAAAAAATGTAGTCATAAATAGCAAAACAGTGGAATCTGTCATGTAGTTCGCAGCACGGTATCTGTGTGACTGAAATTAAAAACCCTTCCTTAACTGAGCATGATATGCAAAAAAAAAAAAAAAAAAAAAAAAGTCAAAGAGGAGGCAGAAGGGAAATATGCTTAGGGTTTGAACAGGAGATCTGGAACATAAGACTTGTGTTACCATGCCTTCCTACTAACTTTCTTCTGTGTATTAAAAATAATTTTTAATGTTGAGAAAATACTTACCTTCTGATGCTAGAAAGTGTTTCAGAGACTTATTAAATGTCACAGTAATTATCACTCCTATGAGAAGAAATCACTGACACAGATAGAAAGGTGTGTCCTTATAGGTTCTTTAACTTGCTGCTTTTTCCAGTTAATAATGAGAAGCTGTGCCAAACCTTGACTGGTGCCTGAATCATTTAGCTAACACTCTGCCTTCTAAAGAAGGGCTGGAGTAATCCCAGACTGAATATCCATCTCCCCCTTATCAGGCACTCTGATGTCCTACAGCTCCTCAATCACAATCCTTCCATTACTAAATCAATAAGACCATCACCTCCCCACCAATGTACTTATGAACTGTCTTGTAGGTTTGATAATCCTGCCATTACAGGCTTCAGAATGAAAGTCTGGATGACATCCTACTGACCTAGAAAGTTTCTAGCTCTGTGCAGGCTTTTAGGTATTTTCCCTACCACCTGAAGGATAAATGAGACTTAGATGGAAGTAGGGTGACTTAGTGTTGCCACTCTGGGTATCCTCACTGAAAATCCCACTGAGCTCCCTACATTTCTAAATTCAGAACTTCTCTGAAGGGATTGACATGATGGAATTATTGACATGATTGCCTTTGTGGATAATCAGTATTCCTTGAGGATCTGGGACTTCTAACCCAGCTGACATCTGTTACCCCTTTAGCAGGGACAGGAAAGCCAAGGCAAGGCAAAACTGTTCTCAATAGTGTTGGAGGAAGAAACTCATTACTCCAGATGGGATCTTTTGATCAACCCAGTCAAGAGAGCAGAAAATATTTAGTTATCTACTAAGGCACAAGATTTACAAAGCAGGATGTAAATTGTAGAGCAAATCAAAGCCACATTTCCAAATGAAGCTCTCTTCCAGCTTATTTTATTAAAAAGGACAGGTAGGTGTTACTGTGGCTGTCAACCTGAGTAAGGAGGTGAAGAAACAGTTTAGTCAGGTGAAGTTTGGCTACAATTAGTAACCATTCTTACAGATCTTCTCAGACACTTGTAACACAGTTCAGTAAGTTTGAACTCAGGCCAGAGCCAATTTATGTTAATTCCAAAGTACCTGTAGTTCTTCTAGAATCCTGTGAAGCTTCATTACAAGATAAATTTTATTTTTCTCTTCAACTCATCCATAGTTTAAAGCACTCAAGGAAATTTGCAAACATGGTGTTTCATTTCACTTCTATGCATGTCAGTTTTTATGCTTGTTTTGTGGACGGATAAAAGGAATAATCAGGTTAACAGTAGATCAACACCATAACTCTACAGTAATCCCAGGAGCTGCAGCCAGCTCTAGAGCATCTAGTTTAAGTACAAGTCTTCTTTCCTTTTAAGTATCTAATTAATAACACATATTAGACAGCAATTTCTGAAGTAGGGTAGTCTGTTTAAAGTTTAATACTGCAATAATTTTAACCTTTTTTTTCTATGCTACTATTTGAAAATTTTACTTATATTGAACGGTAAATATTTTATCTGGGAAAATTGCATAGTCCCATGTCATGTTATGGCTGTGTTTATTGGATTCAATGCATCTCCACAAAGTGTTTATAAATCATGACTTCAGTGATCTCTATTTCAGATTGCATAAGCAGATGCCAGTGTTGTGGTTCTGTACATTAACTGGTTATGATCGCAATAAAATCAATTATAAGAAATGCCATTTTGGAAGCCAGCACTATAAAGCAATTTTAGCATTGGCAAGCTCCCATACCCTCCTGCTTCCACCTACAGTAACTCAAGTATAGTCATTGTCATGAAAGGTCGCATCTATATTCATAACAAAAAATTTCTCAAATAAATTAGTGCTGAACATAAAGCAAGCTCTCTGACAGATTATTAAAAGGCTACTCTTGCCAGAGGGTGCTTATCTTAATCTGGGGCATAGCACTGCAGCTGTGAGAAAAGGCACAGGAGCATCACTGGGTACAACTTTTTTCTCCTGAAAACACAAATGACCTGAACATCTCATATATCTGTAAGAGACAGTTGACTGGAATGACATCCCAGTGACTTTGGAAGCATTTCTGCTCCATATGTGAGGTATACGTATCATCTCTAACAGCAAGGACAAGAAAAAATTTCTGTGTAGCATTATATAAAGCTGGATTAGAGACTCTGAAAGAAACTCCCTCCAAAGGCCTCCTGACCAATTTATAAAATTCATTTCAGTTGCACTAGAGTTATAAACATCAGACATCCCTGCAGGCAAAGCAGAAGTTTACTTTTCCATGGCTGTTACTGAGCCAAGTTCAATTCCTTGGTAAATCTTCACAACACAGTAGATAGAAAGGACTAGAAAACAGGTCAGACACAAATCTATTGCATAGGTTTTTGTGAAGTTGGTTTGGCTGCAGATATTTATTTGGGCTATCCATTGCCCCAAACCAGAATTATCAAAAAGTGTTCCTTGTAAAAAATGTGTATATGATATAGAAAAATTTTCATTATGATACTAAAGGTGCTTCTATTTTCTGATTTTTTTTTTTTAAATATTCTGGACTATTGTGAGTCTATCATATTGTTTCTAATAAAAAGGTGCATTTAGAATTAGAATTATCCTGAGTCTATAAATACCTTGGGTCGTGGACTAATAAAAAAGTGCACTTTTGGCCCCACAAATGTGTTTAGAAGGTTGACCTTCAATTCTACAAGCATCTTAGTAGTCCAAGTCACAAACTTGAAAAGGACAGAAGTTGTCAGAGACCAAGCAATTGTCTTTCTGTTAGCTGAAATTGTGTTTTAATTGGTTATATTTGCAGGACTGCTAAACTTAAGAGTGGCCATCCTTTATTCTCTGAAGAGTCCAGCTCTTATTTGGTTGACTAAAATTATTTGGTGGTTCCATTTAAACACATTGGTCAGAGATGTACTGATGCTTTTTTAATGACAGTAGGTTTCACAACTACGTTTTCCCAATATTTGTGACATTTTATTCATTTTGATGAAGTTCTATATGATATTTTGAGTTTACACCTGGAGCTGAAAGCGTAGACCAAGAACAGGATGAAGCGAGCCCCAGTAGGGTGGAGGGAAATTGTCAACTGGCACGGGTCAGTTTTGCACAGCCTTTTGTAATTCCTTGCTGCTACAAGAACAAAACAGGTGGAGTACACCCCACAGAAAATAAATCCCATGCATGTAAGTCAGGGCTCAGAGTCTATGGATTTTTATGGAAGTTAGAAAGAGGTAGAAACACAGCAACCAGCATAAAGAGCTAGCAGAAGTCAAAACCCTTTTCTGATTAGCGTAATATTTCCTCCTTTCAAAATCAAACGATTTAGTGGCTCGTACCATTTGCAAGGCACTTTTCAGCGTCGAAAACAGACCTTCTGTTTCAACTTAAAAAAAAAAAAAAATCAGTTCACCTGAATTTTATTCACATTTTTTAGATCTTCCACCACCACCCGACCCGCCCCCCGGTCAGGGTTTAAGGCAGCCCATAGTGCCCGGCCAGCGCGGAGGCTCTGCCGAGAGGAAGGGGAGCTCTCTGGAGAGGCAGCACGCAGCAGCCAACGTAGATGACTCAAAGAGCTCCCTGGACCGGCCTGCTAGGACATCACTAGAGTGGCAGCGGCAAGCCCAGGAGTGGATAAGCTCTACAGACCGCCAAGAGGATTTCAGGAAAGCCCAACACAAACAAGCCTTCGGATCAGGTGCGTGTGCGCCGCACCAGCCGAGGCTGCTCCACCCCTCTGCCGAGGGGTTCTGTGCCTGGCAGGGCTCTAGGATCACCTCACACCTCTCTGGGAGAGCACTGCCCAGGGTCAGGCTGGAAAATGAGGAAAGCCAAAGTGAAACGAGAGCTTGTGATCTAGCTATCTCCCCTCCTGCAACAATGAAATCTCATTAGCGCCTGACTCGGTGCATTCTTTGCAGTGTTTTGGAAATTAATAATGTTCTCAAGCGTAGCGATGGAGAAAATAGAAAAAGTTTCCAGCCAGCAGGGAAAGAGAGAGATTTTTAGAGTATCTTTTGTTAGGTATATTTATTTATAGATATAGGGCCATATTTTCCAGTTCTTTCAACCTGCTTCCAAGTTGACAGCAGCTTTTACGTGTCTGCAAGAAGGCTGATCTTTCTGAGCTACTGACATTCCTTTCAGCTGCATTAAAAACCCTCTCTTCTCTTTATCCCAGGCTATGACAAAGTATCATTCATCTCTTAAGCCCAGCAAGATGACAGTGTAGGTTTTCACTTTCATACAGGACCTGCACTTTGCCCCAAGCTGACTTTAGCACCTAAATGGATTTCAGGTCTGCACAAATGTGCACAGGAGGTGATGTTAGGCTGGAGTTGGATTTCTGCAATATTCACATTTCCCTCTCTCAGCCTGACCTCAAGTAAAAGCTGCTGGTTTATCCTAGGGCGTTTTCTTTAACCCATTAACCATTTCATCCCAGTGCAGTGCTGATTAGAGTGATACAAGAGGACAAATAAGATTTAAACAAAAAATTATACTGCGTGCAAAGGTTTTTTTTGTAGGGTTACACTGTTTCTTATGTGTATAACTTCCACAGTCACACTAGAGGTACTCTTATGATACATCTTTTTCTTGATTGTATTCACTCTTAAATCTCCTTGTTAATCTAACACACTAATACCACTGACATACTATAAAAAGAAGAGTAGTGTGCAGACAAATCTGTCATGGGGACAGGATTTACTGAATAAAGTCCTCCTAGGGAAAATACTGCTACCTGTATTTAAAATTTAAATATTTTAAATGCAATTGCTATTTTAAAAAATAACAATAATGGTACTTTTAAAACCCCCTAATTTGTTGGCTCCATAAACAAGTGAGTAGCTGTTCATGCTCTGAAATCACAATGTGAAGTCACAGTTTAAAAATAGTGTGTGAAATGCATGCTGCTTGGTGAAATGGCAATTTTAATTGCAGTTTAGAAGATGTACAAATACATAGAAAATAGCCTGAATATACCTTACACTTCTCATTTCCTTGGATTATTATTATTAAGGATGCTTCCCTGACCTGCTTAGAAAGAAGCACCTTCTTTTTCCTCTGTATCACACGTGTGTAAATAGAATTTGTCATTTATTCTGTGATGCTGAGCTTATACAGTAGTAAAATTCCCATCCTGCAGGGCTTGCATTTATCTGTCCATAAACAAAGATAACTTGATCCTGACACTTCCAGTGCCCTGCACTGAAGTGGTTAGAGGTATCCTGTTCTTGTCAAATTCAGGATGCCAAGAGCAAGGGCATATCCTTTATGCATAAAAAAAAGGATGCCTCTAGGAGATGCTATGAGTTTATCCTGGTATGAGGAGTTCACAAAGTTTGTGCACAAGATGAGCCAGGGCTCCATATCTCTCTGTCTGCATTCTCATTCCAGCCTCTTGCACTGCAGCTTTCTTGCTCTGCACTCTTATTTCTGGTAGATTCTAAAAGGACTACTCTTGTGTGTGATGCTGGTTTATATCACTGAATTTGGGTGTTTTAATAATATTAATTGTGCTTCTTCCCTTTTCCTTTATTCATGTCATAGTTCTTTGGAAATCCATTCTGTCCCAGTGTTCAATACATTTCCAAAAAAAAGTTGTTATTATTAGTTATCAGCTTCCAGAAAATAGATGATTTGCAACTTAGGGGGTTTCAGTCAGATGTTACCAAGCTATGAGTGAAATTTTGAAAGCAAGACCTTTAGTTTGAAGTTGAATAGAATAAAAATACCTAAGTCTGGGATCTCTGTTTCCACTGGTTGCTTTCAGTATAAACAAGACCACTGAGTTCCTGGCAGTGGCTTCCTTGTAGAACTGGAGTAAAAGCTCATAATATATGGCATTCTCAGCTTCCCCCACCCAGACAAAAGTGGTCCTAGACCAGGTTACAATAATTTTAATAACAGGAAAAGCCTTTGGGTTATTTTCTGGGGTATAGAAGCATTGTTACTCACACATCCTAATTTCACAGGGGCTAGAATTATATCTTCAAATGAATGGCCCAGTATTTCAAAGAAAAAGGCACCAGCAAAACCTCCCCATATTCTTTGCAGGCCTGGATATAGGGCACTGTTTGGAGAGTTTAATAAATGTGATCCCATTCTCAGGACTGGAGGCAACTACTTTTCGTGTGCTAGAATGTTGTGTAAAACCTAGCCTTTATTTATGTCACAATTCCTTATTTTATGGATTATGTTTATTTCTAAGGGCACAACAGATAATTTAACATACCATATGCTCTATAATGATAATGCACTTTATATTTATTCATGGTTGTTTTTCCTCAATATTTCATTGAACCCGAAGGAGGCCTTATCCTGAGTCCACCAGCTAGAAAAACAAATCAATTGACTATATATGTCATCTTCCAACTCTTTTGCTATGCTAGTGACTTTTGTTTTCATCCTTTAAAAATGTATCCAGCTTTCTGCTAAACTGATTTATGCTGCTTTCTTTATTGCTGCCTTAATGCAAACTGTTCCATATTTTAGCCAGCCTTTGGAAACCAGGTTTGCTTCTGACTGTATTGTTAGGTCTTGATATATAAAAAAACAAGTGACGTAATTTAGGAGAGACTGAGGCTGTTAAATGCCATTTTCAGTGTCTTTCAAGCATTTATTTTTATTTCAGCAAGGACAGCACACAGTCATAGCACAAAACACTGATAATGCCCTTACATCCTGCAGCACAAATATTCTGGTCCCTCAGCAGGACCAGAGGGAGATACTTTGGCAGGGAAAGAAGTCAGCTGCCTGCCCTCTTCTGCAACAAATTTACCTTAAAACAGGCTCAGTTCAACAGCAGCTCACATGGGGAATCCCCACATCCTACTCTTGTGGCAAAAAATGAAATCCCGAGTTTCTTCCATAAATTTGTTCTCATTTAGCACTTCTCTAAGTTAATTATGCCTCTGTTGCAGTCCTTGCAAAGGCTTCAAGCTTGTGAATAAAAGCGTTTTTATCTCCTTTATCTTTCCAACCATCCCCACCTACTTTCCAACCATCCCCACCTACTTTCCAACCATCCCCACCTACTTTCCAACCATCCCCATTGTGTTCCTGCCTTCTGTCAAAGAAAGTCCATTTCTTCTCAAAAGGTTGTTTAAGAGTGAAGACAATTGGAAAGCCAAAATAAAGAAAATCCTTTGGGTCTAAATTCACTTTGGAAAAAGGAAAATTTCAAGCAGTAGAAATCCTACTGATTTCAGAAAGGACAATGCTGTGTCTGAGGTTAGGCATATATACTCATATTCTTTCTTGAATCAAACTATATTTAGCAACATCTCTTTCTTCAGCCTCTGAGAGGGCAAAAGTGGATCATACACAGCAAAGAAATAGAATAGTGCTTCTATTTCAGTGTTAAATCAGTTCTGCTGTTATGCTTCTTAGATTTGGATTATTATAACAATATCTCCAGGAAACTCTAATCAGAAGTGATGTCTTGTTTTATTTCATGCTATATGAAGACATACAGTCTTATGCCTTATTGCCTTTAATCCTGCTCTTGAAAGTAGTTCATTATTACAGGTCTTCACAGAAAAAGAATCCAAGTGAGCAAAAGTAAGCCTTTTGCTCATAATGGAATATGAAACAAGATGCATGATTATTTATCCACTCCAAATATTACAACTGCAATGTATAATATAATATTTTTCAATGTAATTCAACACCAGTTAAAAATTGTCAGTGTACTTTGCATTGTTAGAAATTACTGAGTTGCTGGAAGCTAATTAAATTAGCTGATATTTTCGTTCCTTATCTAAAGTGATTGAGGTAATGTTGCCATAATTTAAGCTAAAGAAAAGGAAAAAACACATTTATGTAGGCTTGAAGCAAAAATCTAATCATAGCTTCATTGTTTTGGAAATTGCGTGTTCACCTATTTTCATTAAAGTATTTATGATTCATGGTCTCTTATGCATAATGAATCTAGACTTTTTATAATTAATACAAACTGACTTAGGAGTTCACAAGGAAGCAAGATTTAAATTCATACTGGCTTCTCTGTCCTTGGGATACAACTCTTACTTGTGTATTTTCTTAGGTGAAATTGTTATGCTATAAAGCAAGCAAAAAAGACAGATATGAATGAATATGATGTGCATAAATGAATGGCTTGTTTATTCCTACTTCTAGGCTTTTATTGGTATTTCTTTTGCTTTGTTTTGCTTTTCTAGAAGAGGCACTCGTACCATATAGTAAACCCAACTTCCCATCCCCTGGTGGCCACAGCTCTTCAGGAACATCTTCTTCTAAAGGATCAACTGGACCTAGAAAAGGTGAAGTCTTGCGAGGAGGTCACCAACGCAATGCCAGTGACCTTCTCGATATAGGCTATGTGGGATCAAACAGTCAAGGACAGTTTACTGGTGAATTATGTAAGTTTACCTCTAGCTCCAGTTCAAACTCTCAAATAGATAAGAGAAAAAAAAAAAATATATAAATCTCTTGTGAAGGGAGTACAAAGTTGTGTGTGATATTCAGATTAAGCTTTGTCCAGGTCTTTTTGCCTTCTGAGGCGTATTGCATGTGATGGCAAACAAATGTTGTCCTTCTGTTCCTTGCTTTGGACCAGTTCAAATCTGTGTAAGCATGCCAAAATTATCTACATGGTACATCTCTCTGTGTGTAATGCTAGTGAAGCATGGGGAAGATTGAGAAGGAATTCTAGTAACTTGGAATTTTTTTTTTTTGGCAAAGTGTAGTGTGCTTGTCTTGGAAATACCAATGACAGATTTCCTCTCCTTAATTTCCTGTTTGATGAGAAGTATTCTCTTAGATGGAGGTCTTCTCTTCTTGACTGTGTAGCCCAGTTTTTCAGTTTTATACCTCCACTTTTTTCCTCAGCATCCCAAGGCAGGGAAATGTTTTCCAAGTTTGTTTTCTATTATCACTCAATATCTGTTAAACTTTCTATCAATCCATGTTGATGCTATGTACGTGCTGGCAGTACCAGCTACCCAAAGGCTTGACTCTGTTGTTTGAAAAAGAACATCAAAACCCCGGCATACTGGTGTGTTTAATAAATTGGTAATAAAAGCAGTGGAGCTGCTGGCATGTGTGCACCCTCTTGCTGCAGTCAAGCCCTCAGCAGCTCCTGGCAGTTACTGCCCCGTAGCTGTAAGAGAGCTAATGGTGACCCTGAAATGTGCAGTCTCAGATATGGTGTTGGTAAGTGCTAAATTTTAGCATCCCTTGCTTTTCATCTAAGAAGCAATTAACCCTGTTCTCACAACCTATTGAATATTCATCCTGTGCTGCAGTAATATTGCCATAAGCTTTATTTTGTGTGTTTTTTTCTCCTTATTACAACCTCTTTCTCTCTCTTTTGTTTCTCTCTATAGAGTAGTTGAGAAGACACATTGCAAGCTGCTCTGATGGACCATCAGGTCTGAACTCATGGAAGTGATGACACTAAACAGTGCAATGAACATTTTCTTTATTTATGTACTATTAAAAGAACTGTAAATGCAATGTAAAGACACACAGCCACACATATCCCACAGATACTTTACTTGTGTTCTTCTCTTTAATACACCATCCACCTTAAACTATTCCTTGTCAGGAGTATATAAAAAAAGAAAGAAAAAAAATCACCCTCCAGGATTAAAAGGATTTCCTTCTGTATATAATTTCTTTTGTTGCATTGCTATGCAAGCTCACCTTCTTTTTAGCTATGTTCATATTCATGTCTGTTTTTACTGGTCTGTTGTACTATATGTGAATTAATAGGCTGTGGTGCCATATATTAACTTTTAATTGTGTAACTTTTATGTTTAAAGTTTGCACTGCAATTTTATTTGGTGATAAGCACAAAACTCTACTCCTCATGACATGAAGAAAAAAGAGACTGAATGTGTGAAGAAGGTTTACATCCTGTAAGCTACTTTGGATAACGCTGGATGTAAAGGAGTATGTTGGGTGGTTTTCCATTGGGGTGTAGAAATGAGAAAGTGACAGGCAAAACTGATGTCAGTGAAGACATTAGAGACAGATTTAAACCTTTTAAAAACAAGCAACATAGTTGCTCTTCCTATTTAAGAAGGGGTCAGAAGTTGGAAGTGTGAGATTAAAGAGTGAAAATGAAAACTAAAGGTAGCATGAGATGGCCTAGACCCTTTCACTAGAGTGATACCCTTAGTATCTACTTTTAGCCATCCCATGCCACTAAGCAAAGGGGAAGAAAAACAAACCTTGCTACAAACAAAAGAACTTAAGGTGTTTCACTAAAGCTGTTTTTATTTTGCAGTTTTAAAAGAATTATTACCATTGATTTCTTCAGCCCAAAGCATAGGAAGGACAGAGATTTTTCAGGAGAAACAAACCATATAAACACAAGGAATACATAGTAAAAAGAATGCAATTTATTACTAAGACATATTCAGGCTGCTTCCAAAAAATTGAAATGTCAGAGTATCCTATTTCATCTTTCCAATACATGTACAGTACAATAGAAGATAAAGCTGCACCACTGAAATTCATGACATTAATTGTTTTGATGCAGTCTACACAACCCTTTTTGTTCCATACCTGAGGTCTGAAAGAGCTGAAGTTCCATCAACTAAATTTGTAGTAAAATGTTTCATTTTTGGAAGGAAAGCAATGGTCAAATTATTTTTGGCTTGCATTAAGTATATTTATGGCAATACAATACATCCAAAAAGTTTGATATAAGCAAAGGAAATCTTTGACCTGTGTTTTAGTGAGTGGCTTCAAACTCTACTATGATGAGGAAATAACGCATGTTTATACACTTTTTGAATAAACCAGACTCTGTAAGTGGACATTAATGACAGCATCCTGTCTCTTCATTAATTTTCACAACTTGGTCCAAGTCTTCTTTACCTCTCAAATCTCAAAGAATAAATTCTCAAGCTTTTCTCAGAATATTGTGTATGGCTAACCCACCCATTACTTTGATGCTTAATTTAAATATTGCATCTTACAGCTTATTTCTGTTAGTTATCTGACCATGAACACAAGTTTCCATTGAATCCCCTTTTCATATAACCAGTCTATGTTGTTTTATATTTTGCCTTGGAGCTCACCAGTATTAAGAACACTTTTTGTCATGGCAGAATTTTAGAAAAGTAAATTATGATGCTAAATATGTGTTGCTTTTCATTTCATTAACTTGTTCCATGATAAGATAAAACACACCAGCCATCAGCTATAACTCAGCACTACTGAGTATTGAAAAATGCTAGTTAGCTCCCTTAAGGTCAAGATGTGTTATTTAGAAAGTTACAAACAAAAAAAAGTTTAGGAAAAAAGATATGAATTTATTTACATATGTGACCAATGAGTATATGCCATTTTCCTGCTTGTTAAAACATTATAGTTAAAAGCATAATTTAAAAATGTGCAAAAATGTTCAAGTAAGATAAAGAATGCAGCATAATTACATATGCATGTTTTTTATTTTGGTATATACCATATGAATAGAAGACTATTCAGACTACAGTTCAAATTTAATTCTTTGGAAAATATTTAACTCAGTCACCAATAGTAGTTTTTTCCCCTTTTAATTCAAAAGCTTGTGCTGAGCTTTGGTGGAACACCTTACTCACTCTGTTCTCTTCAAAATTCAGTATCATTAGAGGTTGATAAAGCCATTCCAATTACTTTCAAATATGTGTTTTATCTCTTCCACTGGAAAGTAAATGTGTGTCAGTATTAAAGCTGTTCAGTACCATGATATTCACTAACTTGTCCATCTGCTTCTGTACATTTTTGTTCATTAATAATTTGCTTACAATATTACATAAGGTGTTGTTGTGTATGGCAAAGTGTCTCCATTATCTTACAGGTGATGTCTCTTCTTTTTCTTTTTATCTCTCTTTTCTATACAGTGTACTTCCAATGAACCACAGTACATATTTTTTAAAATGCCATTTAATTTACTATTTTAAAAGAAGTATTCTTCTTTTTTAAAAAAAATGAAAACATTTATTGTGAATAATGTGTTTAAAGAAAAGGGATGTTGTGGCAGCACTTAGAATTGTTTTTTAATTTGGTTTTTTTAAAACTGTTTATTGGCTACAGTTTGTTCACGAAAAAGTATGACCTCTTAATGTGTTTCATTGGTATTGTTAGTGCAGCAAAGTTTAATTGGCATAAGAAGTTGGTTAATAGTACTGTTGAAGTGTGTATTGTATATTTACTGGGGAAAAAATAAAACATATTCACATTTCAAATCTATGTTAAAAGACCTTGAGTAAGGAGTCAATATGTGAAAACCCAAACAGGGAAAATCAGGCAATAATAACATAGACTGAGCTATAATCATCACTGTCCACTTACAGGTGACAAGGAGCATTTTGTACACTGTTTTTTGAACTAAGCAATGAGCCAGTGGTAAGCATGGCCTGTCCTAGGGGTTTCTGCTGAATGTCCTGTCTCTCCTGGAACAGTTGTACCACTGTAATTACACTGATACAGCTCTTCCAGTGAAAATTCTGCTTGTAGCTGTGTTCTCTGTGTGTGGGGCAAGCACTGCAGGGGCACAGCTGGCTCTGCCTGAAGCCCACAGAGCAGTGGATGTGGAAAACCTGGTCTGAACCCTCACACCTGGGGCTTGGTACGGGTGGAGCTACTGCCAACCCAGTACAGAATGCCCCAAAATGTATGGATAGGTCAATTTTTCTCGATCTTTGTGCTGAATACAGGCTCAATTTTAAATACAGGAAGGCTGAAGGACCAAATAATGAATTCTTCCATGTGCTTCAGTGGTGTATTGCTGTATGGGCAGCCATTTCAGTGATGCAAGGAACAGACATTTCCTTTCTTGATGTTTTTTTTTTTTCTCCCCTTTATTTCTCAGGTACATATCCAAGTCAGTAAACCTTTAGAATACCTTTTGGTTGTCACCTGAAATGCAAAAGAAACACCATTCCTTGGGAAAAGTACTAAAGATAAAGTGTGTGGAATGTTTTTAAGTGTATTAATTTAACTGCACACAAGTGCAAAAGGAAAACAAGACTGTTTGAAATAATTATATGCTGGTTTATGCTTGCCTCAGCCCATGCATTGCCAGCCATGAGAAGAGGTGTGTGCTGAGGCTGAGAAAAAGTCCTCACAACTGAAAAGGGAAAGGGAATAGGGTTGGGGGAGATTTTGGCAGGAACTTGTATCTAAGAAAGATAAAAAATTACAGGCAGCTCCTTTGGCTTGTCTACAGTTTATGCAGTTTGGGGTTTTTTTATGGTTAATGGCCTTGTGGAGTTTTAGCAGGGGAACTAGAGAGAAAAAAGTCAACCTTTTGTAAAGACTGGGGGGTACTTGTTTGCTGAGGGAGGATTTTTAATTTAATTTTTAAATTTTTAACACGTGTTTTGTGTTTCATCTATCTGGAACACATTAGCTAAAAAATAAATTGTTTTTGAAGACCATGTGGGCAGCAGACAATTCATTTAGGAGGCAAATTCAAATAGCAGGAAAAGGGGAAAAAGTAGTACTAAAATAAGTAACACATACTGGTTTAGAAACAGCCAAGTCTGCCACAGTTTCACATGCAATTTTGAACAGTGCAACGATATGTATAAGCTTCATTTTGGTTTCCGTACCAAAACTAATTACCCAAAGTCCATAGGAGGCCTAGATCCTCGGGACACTAAATCTGGTGCTTTGTTTGAAGTGTGTGGTTAACCCAAGCTGGTGAGAGTGGAGGATGCTCAGGCTGTGTGCAGCCCCAGCCCTGGCTGCCGACCCCGGGAGTCTCCAGCAGAGGAGTCCCCCTGGCTCCATGGGCTCTGTGGGCTCCAGTGGATCCCAGGCAGTCAGCACGCAGAGGAAGGTCACTTCTCTGAGGATGGAGTTTTCAGGGCAGGGAAGGTTTTTGATCTTGTGGCACCATGGAGCTCTCCTAGGTGTGTCTCACGTTTTGGGACTGCCCTCCCCCAGCTCTTAGTGCTCTCCTGCTGTGGTCTGTGCACTCAGTGCTGATGCTGTTCCCTGGATCTGGGGTGTTTGGTATGAGGGCTGCAAGAGCCATGGAGGTGCTCTGCATGCATTGAGTGGCTGAATATATGGATAAAAGCTTTATTAATTCAGGGGGACCAGGGACACAGAAGAGTAGTGGCACCAGACATCTGCCCTGCTGTGTCTAGCTTGTTCCCCTCTTCCTTTCAGGATTGAGTTCCTTCCTGCCAACACTCCTCCACCCGCATGAACAGATACAACTCACAGGTATCTCATGGGACCCACAGGAGATGTAGGACCATGCCTACATGCATGATGGACTGGTTATTTGGGGAGAAGTAGCTCTGAGTTCCACAGCTGGTGTGAGGACTAGATTCCTCTTTAGCCTGACTTGATTTAACTCTGTAGCTACATCCAGGAAGACCCAGGCAGAAAACAAGTTCCTAGAGCAGAGCTCAGCATTGCAGCATCTCTTCTGGTATGTGGCTCCTTATTCAGTCTGTTGTAGGCAGTCCTGAGTTCACTGCTGAATTCTCAGCACATCCTAAGGACTCAGATGGCTTATGCTGACATCTAGGCAAGTGAGGTTGTTCCTCTTGCTTTAGCAGAATGGAAAAACAAACAAAAACCAAAAAATGACAAAACTTAAACCTTTTACTTCAGCACAAAACTTTATAAACAATGTGCAAAAATCTTAGAAAACCATATTTCAGATGTATGTTTGACAATTTTTTTTTTCTTTTTGTTTGTATTTTGTTTTGGCTACCATTGAAATAATCCATTTGGTTTTTTTCAGAGATGTAACACTGTCCATGCACTGCGCCCCCCCCCCCCCCTCCCCCCCAATGCATTTTCCAGCATTTATCTTTCATCTGTAAAGAAGTTATGGTAAAGAATAATGACATTTGTGTACTTACATTGTTCTAACTTTAAGCAACAAGGTGCACAGTTGCATTCAGTTCAATTGATCAAAGCCAGATGGGCACAAAATATTTGTGGGTCTTTTTTTCTAAAAAGGTCTGCTATTTGTGCTGATATTTGTTCTCCATTCATGCTGATCAGTGCGTCTTTTGCCTTCAAGGATGCCATTAGTAATTCTCCTTTGTGTTCAAAAGCAGGAATCCATTGTGCAGCACTTGGAGAGCCACTCGGATGCAGGTAAAGAATATAAGAGCTTGAGCAAGTGCTAATTAGAACCAATTAAAGTTAATTGACCTCCTTTGGCAGTAAAATGCATAATAGAACTTGCTCTGTCCTTGCAAAATGGAGATCTTGCCTCTAAGCATAGGAGTGAAGCAGGGTTTCATGTAGCATCCCGTAGTAATTATGTGAGTATAACAACCAGGAAGCTGCTTGCTACAATTTGTTCTAATAACTGAGCTCTACTGTATCAGGGCAATGCAATAAAAGTGAGATTTCTTCTCCAGTCTATTTAAAAACCTAATTTTTACAGAGCAAATGAGCATCCCAAGATACCGATACTAATCTCTAGGAATGAGTTGGCAGAAAAATAGAGTCCCTTTTATAGGTAAGTAATGGTGTGAGCATAAAAGGCAGTTTTACACCTGCTGGTTGGCAATATCCCTGATGCTCAGAGGTTGCATCTATCCTGGGCAGTGGGGGAAGCTCTGGCAGGCCTGCACTGGGTGAAGGATCTGCCCACAGTTCAGAGGGGCTCCCTGCTGAACCTTGCCATGAGGTTGCCTTCGGTAGACTTCTGTTGGAAGAGGGGCACTGGCATCCATCCAGCTGAGGTTTGTGGTGCTGCAGGACTACACCACTGCCATGGGCAACACTGTGGACATGGTCAGAGGTACCCAAATAAAAGAGAGAGAAAGAGCAGGGGAAAGAATTAAGGGTAGGAAATGCAAAATTGTATGAATTCAAAAGCATCAGTGGTGGGTGCTAAACTATACATCGCTGTGAAAAGTTCAAAAGCCATTTTTATTAGAAAACCAGAATTGATCCAGTTTCTATGACCATGCTTTGATGACTTTTTGCTTGGCAGGAACTGAATGCGACTGATTTTGCTGCTAACTTGGCCTTACTATGAACAGCAATAAAGGTGTTAGTCAGGTGGGGACTTTGATGTGACCAAGTAACATCACTCTCCCTTCAGGGAATGTTCTGTGCTGGCTTGTTAATGAATTTCTTTCCTAATGAGTATCATTAAAAACCCTTTGATTAGCTATTTGTGTGAATGCCCTTCCTTTTTCCTCTAAGCTGCTACTTGCACGAGTGGCAGCGGGATTTTGCCCTAGGCAGAAAGCGTGCAGCTCTATTCCTCACCTCGTGAATACAAGTCTGAGGCAAACAGCAACAGGAAAGAGGGTGGAAAGAAAAATAAGAAAAATTAAAAAAGACCTCACGGATGAGTTGAAGTTATTTTCTACACATGTACAACCTGAGCAGGCACCAGCCTTCATATGGGACTGTCATTAGGGGAAATGAAGAGCAATAGGTGGTGATGCTGAAGCATGCAACAATAATTTACATACACCTCGAGTGCCAACAGGCAGAGAAACAAATAAAGCTATAACCTGGGGAAAGGGAATGCCAGAGACTAAATGGACCGCAACGAGCAAACAAAAAATGCCATGTCATAAAATGGAGCAAAAAGCCTGGAAAACAAAATTAAAAACAAAACAAGGCATTTCAGATCCAAGGCACCTTAATGAGATATTGATGGCACAGAAATTGCCTACTCCTATGCAAGACAAAAGAAGACTGAGAAACACAAAAACAATTAGGAAACAGATTTGGCGATCTAAGGTTTAATAGAAAGAGATGTGGCATAGCAGAGTACAATTAATCACCAACTGCCTGAAACACTTTGCTCTCCCAAGCTCCTGCAGACCTGTCTCCCCTGCTCTAATCATAAAATGACAGTCACCCAATCCAGTTCATATTTAAAATAAGCCTCTGCCATTCCTCTCCCAGTCCCTCAAATCTCCTAGTCAATTGGAGACACTGATAAATAAATATTTTGTATTTACTCTGCCGTCACAGGCTTCAAAATACCTTCCATCTACCCACCCCCTTCTTCCTTTTCCCACCAGGCATAAACTTCATCTGTATATTTTCTACCTTGTTGTTAGGCATATAATGAGGCTTTTCTATTTTTGTCCTTCTTTGCCCAGAAAGCTATCCTAGCCACATCACACTCGGGGATGTATAAAAGTTCACTTTCTATTAGGTCTGTGTGGAATATGAGGTTTAAGTTTAAACTAGGTCACTGGGTGCCTTTAGAGCATTTGTAACTAAGGGAGAGCCACTGATTGATGAGTCCTGATTTGAGTGGCTCAGCCCTGCATTCAGAGCCTGAGAAATCCAGGGGAATGATCACAGTTGCAGAAGGATTTGGGCCGTGGGTCTCAGCCCGTGTCTGCTGTGCCACACGTGATTCCCTGCATCATCACGAGCAGAAATTCACCTTAAAACAGCTGGAACCCTATGTCACCCTGATCAGTGATGACCTGCAAGTACACCAAGGGTCTGGTGAAACCTGTGAGAAAATTTTAGTCTTTCCTTATAATCAAGATGAAGGATTAGTTTCTGTCATGTGTGAGCAGATTTTTGCCTGTCAGAGGAGTGCCTTTCTACTCTGTGCACTTTGCAGACCTGGGACATTCAAACACATTCTGATTTTCTCCATATGAATGTTTGGGTACATTAAAAAACCTGTTTCGAAACATGGGGCTTTGAATTCCCTTCTATTATAGTTCATATGTTCCTTTAGATCTTTTGAGGGTTACCCAAACCCCAAGGGTTTTCACAAACATTTATCACTAAGAATATTCAAAGAATAACCCTTTCCATATTTTCATATACTTTGCAGTCTCCTCCAGACCCATAAAAGAGAACAGATATGAATTTCAGCTTTTGATTGATGATATGTTACACTTTTGATTTCATGGAGGGACTTAAGAGGCATGATTTTCATAGAAACTGATGTCAATTAGTTAATTGGAAACTTAACAGTAAAAGTACTAGACCTCTGAGATCTGGTAAGTACCCTTATACTCTAGCTGAGAGTAAAACCTTTCAGTACTTGTGCAACTACTTTTTCCTTCATTAATTGGCTCACAGAATTACAGCATTTGGTAATATTTCTGGTAGAATTTTCTGGGTGAAGAAACTTTACTTTGAAACTCAGTTGCTCTGATGAGAAACTCCTGCTTGGACCAATATATGAAATTTAATGGGACAAGTGAGTCTCACATGCCTTTATAGGAGTAGCAACACTCTTGGGGAAAAAAAAAAAAAAAAAAATCCAGGTAAACTCAGTGCCCTTTTTTTGAATGTATAAGCCAGGAAGCCATTTTTTGTATGTCATAAGCCAGGAAATGTTTGTTTTGTCAGGGGTGTCTTTGTGCCTGCCCTGGCATCTCACTGGTGACACTTAGAACTCGAGCAGTCATGGGAGTGGAGGGCAAGGAGAAGTAAAGGAAAGTGAGGGGAGAATAAAAGGACATGCAGTATTTCAACAAAGGTTTTCAGGATAAAAAATAATTCTTCTTTATGTTCCTAGACAGTTTTGTAGCAAATTATGGACACAGAAATTCTCCTTTTGCCTACAGCCCACTCTTTTTTTTTTAGATTTGGATGAATTTAAATACTTGCTCAGAAAAGAAAATTTCAGAAAAAACCCTTATGTTAAAAATGAAAACAATGTGGGTCTGTTCTTAGTGCAGGCCTCTGACTATCAATATTAGGATGTGTCAGTGAATTGATTATTGTTTGTAAACTGTTCCTAGTGCTGACAATAATAATGACAGAATGCTCTTAATTGGTCCCAGGGAACAAAAAAGAGACACAAAATTCTCCCCCCTTTTTTTTTAATGGTAAATAGATGCTTTTTTTTCCCTCTGCTACTCAATGTTTTTGTTGTAGTCTTGAGGGTGTTTTGAAGCATCTTATGCTGTTCACTTCCTTAAATCCGTTTATTAAACTGAATGTGGTTGAGCATGAGGCTGACATTTGGTGGTTCTCACGCAGTTTCTAATAGCTGCAGGGTGCTCATTTTTGGAAGCAGTTTTATGATGCCACAGAATGTCTTCTCTGCTTTTGCTGGCACGTATCATGCCATATAGCTGAAGCTGGAGCTGTCAGGACTGCATGTCTCTATTTAGCAGACCATTGTTTGTCATTGAACAGATATTCTTGGAGTTTTTTCAACTGTAGCATTGTTGCCAATGGTTAAAATTTGAAAGCTTCATAAATGACTGTGCACAGGAAGATGAATCCAGCTGGCAAACTTTCTACTTTTACGATTTTTGTAGAAGTCATCCAATGGGGAGCCAATAATTTTCACTCTCTGATGAAGCCTTCATTATGGAGCATCTGAAACCTTGTTGTAATGTGGGTGACTTTGACATTATATCTGCAGTTGTGTCTAGTAGCACTCAAACAATGGGAATTGAGCAAAACAAAGAGCCCCTGAAAATAGAGCAACTAAATTTTCCTCTGTGTTTATACAGTGTACAGGTGTGGGGAGGTTCTCTCCTGTTATTTATTATGTCTTTGTCAGATTATTTTTATTTTAATTTCCAGGTACATAAAACCTGCCAAATATGAGCACTTGTAACTATCAGCTCTCAATAAATACAATCTACAGGGAAGGTGAGTCATGGTGGGCAGAAAAAAGAGTAGGTAATGAACAAATGCATAATGAACAACTTCAAAGGAAGGTCACGTTAGCCCAAGACACTTTCTGTGTTGGTCAGATTTAATTTGAGGTTTTGTCTGTGCACAGATTCAGGAACACTTGTCACAGGTGCTCAAGACATGCAAAGAACAATTGTAGTGAATAATGAGGTTATTGTGCTATAATGGTATCATAACACCTGAAGAAGCCATGGTAGCTGTTGTTTCATCCTTCTTCAGCATCGATTTTTTCATTCTGAAATTAAATGGTTACAACTTTGACCTGCTAGTGGATTCTGTGATATTGAAGAAGTGTTAATAACTTTTTTCCTCTGTTCCTCTTCTTTTTTTTTTTTTTTTTTTTTTTTTTTTTTTTTTATTTTTTTTTTTTTTTTTTTTTTTTTCTACTTCCTTGAAATAGACTCATTTTTATCTTACTTGATTTGTAACCTGTTATCAGCACAATCCTGCTGATAAAGCACTCCTGCACTTAAACAAACAATAACAATTGGCCAGTGCTACTAAAAGAAGCTGTATCTNTTTTTTTTTTTTTTTTTTTTGTCTTCTACTTCCTTGAAATAGACTCATGTTGATCTTACTTGAGGTGTAACCTGTTATCAGCACAATCCTGCTGATAAAGCACTCCTGCACTTAAACAAACAATAACAATTGGCCAGTGCTACTAAAAGAAGCTGTATCTCCTGGTTCTCCTTACAGAACTTGAACTTTTGTCAATTTTCATCTCTTCAGAAAGGAATTTCTTATTCAGAAAAACAAATAAACTTTTCCTTCAGAGAAAGTTTGATCCAGGCATTAATTCACTGCCAGACAGGATCTGATCCTTATCCTTTCATGCCCTTCTAGAAGCATCTTACCTACAACAGTCCCAAATAATAGGTGGGGTTTACTCGGAGTGCAATATCTGTCTCATCCTGTTCATACAAGCTACCTGGACCTTCCTTCCTCAAATAATTCATTTTTCACACCACTGTTCTCAAATTTATTATTTCCTACCATCTGGACTAGCATTTTAATGTATTCTGGCTTAAGTATTATTAATTTTCTTATCTTCTGTTTTCCTTATATTTTTTTAAATATATGATTTTGTTCTTTGATCCCCCTCTACTTCTTTGACTAAGGAAAATCAGAGCCTAATGTTCATCCAGAGCACACTAATTTACAGGTTGCCTGCACCTATCTACCTGTTAAGATACATGTTGCTGCTTTTACAGGTGTATCTGATAAATGGCCAGCTCCTTCCTTTGGTAATTTGTATGATATGAAAAATCCTGGCCAAATAAAATTCTGACTTTAAGAAGCTTTTTCACATCTCCTAGATAAGCCTATCTCCCTTTGTGATATGTTGTATTTACAAAGTGTAATCAGTGTACAGCTTCGAACAATTTCACATTTTCTCTTCCAAAATTTTCCTTCAAGTACAAAAGTTATACCTGGAAATTTGCAAAACAGCTTCAGCCTCTCTAAGCATGCATCCACACAGCCCATAAGGGATTTGAGATGGCTTGAGTTCAACACAGCTACT